TCTTCTGGTGCAATCAATATAATTTTAATCGGGGGACAAAAACAATTTAACATATTTAATTTTTTATTTTACAGCATACTTAGGTGTATTTTCGAAACATACCTATACTATGTGGTGCATTGTAAAATAAAAACATGACTTATACAATCAAAGGAACTTTTTATTTATATAAAATTCAACTACGATTAGAAAATTATACTTATTTAATAAATAAAAGCATTCGTGTACATGTTTTCGATAAAAAAATTTTATGTTTAAAAGAGTTCGAAAAAGTATTTACTATAAATAGGTACCTACCTACTTACTAAAGAAATTATTTTAAAACGTCTACAGAAGAAATATAGTACTTACTTATTTTGGCATCAACCATGAAGAGTGGATTTACTGCAAAGTTTATAACCGGTAGCCGTAGTTTTGGAAAAAAATAATTTTTAAAAATAAATTGACCCAGCGGTAATAAAATTTTGACATATTTGATGACTGATGACATTAGATCTTTTGTTTCCAACGCCTTCCATTCCAGGAATTAGGCATTCCAACGACCTGTCAAACAATAGGTGCCCGTGTATATCTAAGAGGGTAGCGACATAGTCTTGCATCTTGGACGTTATTTTTGTTCAAATTATTCGCCAAGCCTGCCAATTTATGAAAAAATGTATAAGCGGGTTTTTTAAATATTATTTTTATTATGTTTGACATAAAATATTTAAATGTAATCCATTATTCATGATTTTACGTATAGTAGATAGAATACACCGTATGCCGCAACCCTTAGATATACCAAACCTTCGTACTGCCTAATAACTCGATTACTTTAATTCTAGATTATAAAAAGTCACAAAAGATTTTTTTACTTTTCCTACTTATAAGTCAGAAAAAGCATTTTTCCCACTTATAAAGTCAAAAAAATATATGTTAGCTCTAACATACATATAGATCGGATGTTTGTACTGAAAATTACAGCAATGGGTATAGGTAGGTACCTATTTTATAGATAGTTTAAAATGAACCAAATACCTTTATTTTATTTTTGTTTCAAAGGAACTAAAAAAACAGATTCCTTTACCTAAAATGTTATCGTTATCGATAAGAATTTTTAGCGTTTCAAAAAAAGTGTTCGAAAAAGTATTCAGTATAAAAGGTACCTACACACATTACTAAAGAAATTATTTAAAAAAATTGTCCATACAAGAACTATAGTACTTACTTATTTTGGCATCAAACATATATGAAGAGTGGATTTACTACGGTTTATAAGCGGTAGCCCCAATTATCGAAAAAATATATTTTTTTTAATAATGATATTTTGACATGACATTACATCTTTTGTTTCCAACGCCTTCTTTTTAATACAAGAACATAATTACCATGGACGATGTCCAGGGGACATGTCTTATAGGCACGGTCAAAACGCAGTAGGCTATATATAGTCGTAAGCCATGGCGAAAATATGCAAAATCACAAACCCAGAGGGACAGACTCGTGTGGCGACGCCCCTTATTACTACCTGAATAACTTGATTACTTTAATTATATTACAAATAACAGATAAGAGAAATTTAAAAAAACAAAGCTAATTTATTAAAATGGCAGAAATATTTATTTTTAAGTTTTGCAATATTTACTTCAATATTTATCGACTATGGGGTACCTAAGGTTTATGAATATTAATCTGAAAATCAACATCATTAAGGGCATTTTTTCTGATAGGATTATATTTGTTTCGTTAAATCACTATAACCATTAAAAAATCCTTTGAAATATTTAAACAGGGCGATTTTAATGTAGATTATTTTTTTTCATTAGCACCTTCTTGGTGATTAACTAAAAGATTATTTTCGCTAATCGTTTTAAAAGAATAATTTTACGTAGGTATCCTTAATAAAATTAAAAACAACATACCTATTTTTGACTTGATATTTTCACAGGATTTTTCACTAATAGAAGTTATGTGCAGAGTTCACACTAATAAAAAAGAATGGAAAATGATATATTATGGTACTGGCACGGACAGATGAGAATTTGGCTTGGGAGGACTATATATAAGTACCAGCCCGGTTCAAATTTAGAAGAAAACAGAATCACAGAACATGAACAGAAATCACAGAACATGAACAGAATCACAGAACATGAACAGAATCGAGACTTATACATACAGTGACGGCGTCAATAAAAATATCAATTAATTAAAAAAATAATAAATAAAAAATCGAAAGTAATTGCTTGTTTTTTATTGTAGGTATGAATAAAAATATTATGAAATTGTTAAATTTGACTGGATAGGCTCGCAAATAAGACAACTGCGTTGGCCTCACCTTTTTCTGTATTGTAGCGGACAAAGGCGTGCTTTTAATTTTGTTTTAGTGAAAATTATTAAATTTGCATTTATATGTAAAATAATATGATTTATTTTTTATTCTTTCTATTTATAGGTACCTCCCCTATTATTGAGTTGTAACAAAAATTGCATTTAAAAAATACAAAAGATTGAAAATGATATCACGTTTACTCAAAATTAAAAAAATAACATTGTTCTTATAGTCTTAATTTTTCGCTAGTGTTTAAGAGCTTCTTTAAGAGAATACTAAAATGAACAATTATTGAACAATCAACACAAAATACATTTAAAAAAATGCGTTCGTCTTTTAAAATCGATCCCATAACGACAATATTCAAAATAAATCTACTGTGGACTAAAAATAGTAAATAGTAACTGGTTCAGCCATCTCTGTGTAAGGATATAAACCTTCATCATGTGAATTCAAGGAGAATCTAATTCTAAACTGAGCAATTTTCTAAACAATACTTAATACGTATTTATTAGGTACGTATGTGTTGCATAGTATGTAGAACATAAATTAGTTAAAAATCTAGGATAAAATGTTTGATTTTACTGTATTTTACAGTTTGTAAAATTATTAGATATTTTGTATCAGGATAGCAGCAAAGCGAGGATAGAGGGCATGTACAAAAAGTAACGTAACTTACTAATATTTCCATTTCTGATAGGAAAAAATGTTTAAGTAATAAATTGTTATCTGTATAAATCAATTAGAAATATACCGGGTGCGACGTTACTCCATAATAACAAGCATAAATTTGTTCCTTGTATATTTTTCAGTTTTTCCTACTTTATTAAATCTAAATTATAAATGTTAAAAGCACATAGTATCAACTTTATTAGTTCGATTAAAATACAATCTTGCGTTATGTATAGAGGGTATAAAATTATTACTTTTTTAATTGTGTATAAAAATTCTACAAATTTAATCTAGTTGACAACGTCGCGTTTCTCTTTTGTTTCAGCCAGTGTTAGCTAATTCTCGCAGAACATAAATCTTCTAATAAATGAGAGCATCAAACAATCGTAGAGGATATTATGCTAAATGGTCTCATCTGCAGAGTGCAGATTCTGAAATATGATATGGAGATGCTTCTGTACTTGGCAATGACCAGTTAGAATACCTGTGTGATGAGGCGCAAATTCTGTCTTGTCTAGTTGTAGTATTAGCAGGATAACTTAAAAGCTACCTGGAAAGTCTGCAGCTTCTTGTTTCATCCCATCTTTCCTTGAATTTCACAAGGTAGTGTTCTTTAATTAGGTTTGTCACTACCGATGTTGTCAGTCCAACAGAAGTATTTGTTTGACTGCCTTCTTGGCTAGTGAATCAGCAAGACGGTTACCTTTCCATGTGGCCTGATCTTTACTCCATCTCAAGTCGACCACATTGTTGATGGATACTTCGGGCAAAGCTTCGCGATATTCTAACCCTGAATAAATTCGTGGTCTGTCCAGGGTGAGTAGGGCTTGTCTTCCAGACAGCACACATCTTAAAGACGTCTGTTTTATGTCATAGTTATGACTGAACGCCTAAAGACCTAAAAAAAGACGTTTAATAGATGTCTTTTAGGTCACATTATTAGGCGTCTTTTAAATGCCTATATTTTTAAAAAATAATTAAAAAAAGTACTGGCTTACTTGTTTCACAAAATTTCACAAAATAGAAATTTATATTTGATTTTTTTTTTTATTAATTTACATAATTTACTAATCACTATCTTCTGAAAAATATTTCAAAGCGAATTTGGCAGAGTGAGCTATAATGCATAATATTTCACATAGCGCAGTTAAAATTATTGCAACCCAGACTGGCTCAGAAGAGCATCAGACAGAAGATTAACCACTGTTGATAGATTACAAAAAAATTAATTTGTAATATCTTTTTAACGAAATGTTTCAGTGTCTTGTTAATAATAATGTTTATAGAAAATATATGTTAGTTTTATTTTGTATAGAAAGAATTTACAGAAGCTTTTAAAACTGAATCTGAAAGTAAGTCTTACCAATGTAGAAAAACAGATATATTCAAGATGTCTTAAGAACGTTACCTTTTGTAACATCAGACGTCTTAAAGATGTCTTTGTTCTGTCTGGGCTACTATCTGTATAGATGAGCATGTTTCTTCCAGTGATATCGTTTCTGGTAACTTCTTTTGCTGCTATGAGAATCTCCGTGAGATCGATTTGAACTACCTGGCACTATTTTTCACATCCCATTTTATATTTAGGTTTAAGGATCTGGTATACAAGACTGTTTAAAAATCAAGAAAGGAGCCAGTGCTGGTATCTTTAAACAAAGTCGAAAACGATTTCGAAGATTCTATAAAAATATATGCAACAGTGATCCAGGATGAAATTATAGTCAAAACACTGAAAAAGAAATAATAAACCAGCAAGTATTTGGTAAAAATATTGCTATCTACTCAGATAATCAAGCAGCTCTAAAATTATCTCACCAGAAACCAAATTACCACTGATGAGACAAAAAGCTAAGTGGTCAAAATAAAGTAAACTTTTAGAATTTTGGGTCTCAGAATAAGTTCAAAATTACCTTACAGATAGAAAATAACTACTAGAGATTTCAAAAATACAATCCGGTTTTACATGTCGACATTACTTGTCCATTGTATGGTTTAGAATAATAAAATTAAACAATCAGCAGACGTTTTGTTCCATGTTTATTTAAAAATCGATGTTGTTATACATTTTTAACAAATGGCAGTGAGCAAAATTTCTACTTCTAGAATACTAAGCTATCGCTTATTGCAGCTTAGTTGAAGGCACATCTCAAAAATAAAATAAGTGTTACTTACTATATTGACCAATAAAAACACATTAATGAAACGATTACGATTAAACGCTGTAATACTTTATTAAATATAAAGAGTTACTAAATTAATCAGTACTTTTATTAATTCGCGATCTAAACAGTAACCTAAACCTTTATCCGCAAAAGAATGTAATAAATTAATTTTAAACGCAGAGATAAAAATACTGATTCAAAGAAAAGGAATGACCAAAATTTAAATAGAAATATCTCCAAATGAGATCAAAAAAAAAAACAAAAACAATGTTTCTTAACTATGGCTGCCATATAAATCACAAGAATATACTTATTAAGGAATGTTCAATAATAAAATACAAAAAAGCCATCATATATATACGATTCATTTATAAAATATGTTCTTTAAAAAATATTACTTGTACAATAATGTCTAAACAGAATTCACTAACTTAAGATGGAGATCAAAATGTTTTATAGCGGCCTTAGTTCACTCATAACTATTAAAAATATTACCTCAACATACAAAAATAGTATTAAGTATACATTTAACATCTTATATTTTAATGATTTGGCACGAGCGTGAATGAGTTTGAATGCAATTTTTCCCAAACATATATAAAGTATCACATTTTACTAAAATTAAAAAGTACTAAACGAAGTAACAGCTTTAATAGAGCCATTACGACTTTAGTGTCAGAGAAGTGAGCAAGTAAACAGATTTTACTTCGTTTTACATGTAAATAAATTGTTCAACTGTGTAAAAATGTGAGTTATTGTTTTTTTTATTATAATTCCAATACTTTTCGTTTTGGAACAACACTAACTTAATTATTCTAAAATTTGAAAAACAACATTTTACGAAATAGTACCCAATACTTTCGAGAATTTTCAAATAACGAAACCACTGTTTTGCCAAATAACGAGTTTTTTACAGTTGGAACTGAAATTGAATTGAGTCTACTAAACTGATTTTAACAGAATCACTGCAGGTGTTGAATACATTACAGCTAAAATCGAGCCATGCTTGTACCTGTAGTATAATACTATGATCTATGTTTATCGAAAACATTCCCTATATTATCCTAAAATACCGATTTCATTAACTAACCATGTTTTAAGAACAATTCTCAAGAATTATGAGTAGCATTTCGTAATATATTCAGAAACATTTCGCAAATTAATATTATTTAGCTCCACCTTTCTATTATGTACAAGATTTAGGTTATTAAAGAAATATATCTTTCTAATTAAAATTTTTCTAATATCTATATGAAGTAATTTGTATATTTAAACTGTTTAACATCTTACAAATCACAGCTTTATTATATATCTCCATCTAAGTAGTAATTTCTGCTAGAAAGCTGTTTAAGCACAACCCATTATGTTTAGTGGACAAAAATAAAATATGTATGTATAACTAGGAAAAAAAAAATTGCACCGTAAAACAGCCTATAGAGAAGCACGCACACAATATTCGAATTACTATTCACTTGTAAAAAATCTAGGTTTATTTTATTGTCAGAGTAACTTACTAATATTCAATTACAGTTCAAAATAGAAATTACCATTTTTTTATAAAAATTACCAATTGCTAAACGACAAACAACTATTAGAATTATTCTGTTTACAAAAGGCAAATTACAAATTGCGAAATAATGTTCAAGCATTTTTTGTGGTTGTAATTCGGAATTTACTTAAACAAAATGCTCTAAAACTAAATGATTAATACCAGTTATCAGTTTAATGTGTTTCTAGTTGTGACAATTATGAAGGCATTTCCAGGAAAGTACGCCATTTATTTTGCAGCGTAAATCAAGTGTCGTACTCTGGCTCATTATGAACACCCATGCCCGTAAACGCCATCCCCACTCAATACGGGCATTTAGTGAAAGTGACACAAGTTGAGGAATATCAAAGCGCCCTGAAATTGAAACCAATCTTTTCTTACTCAGGCTCTAAATCACTAAACTACATAAATTGACAAGACTTGGCGGCATTACTCTCCATGTTTATAAACATACAGTATGTTAATTTTGCACTACCGACTCCAGTAGAACGGTATGCAAAAGCAATGCTACTGAATAGACAGAAATAGAAAAATACATTGCCAACTGCACCACTGAAAGGGCCTAGTTTAACAAAGTTACTCTCTTTATACCTCTCCTGTAACTGAATACTTGTAAGTAAAAAGTGTTTATTTATGAATGAAAGAATTGATCTACTAGTTGTTTGTCGTTATTATCTGGTAAATGACTAATTTTTCAAAAATCGGATGGGCACTTTAAGATCTAACACAAAAAATGTTTAATATGTTTTAATATTTAAAGAATTTCAGCTAAACACATTTTAAAAATACGAAAATTGGAAAAACTTGATAAATGCATAGAAAATCATGCTAAAAATGATAAAGAAATAAATTTAAAGTCGCAAACTCAACTATTGATCAATCTTTAAAAGTAAATGTATTCTCTGCTAAATATTTGGTATATTCATAAAAAAATGTAATTTCCTTGTTCCACTTTAGACACCCGCTTTTAAATAAAAAATACTATTCCCACAAAAATATAATCTCTACAGACTGTATTTTGTGACATAAATACGAAAATCGTCAATGAAAATAAGGAAAATGATTGTTATCGGATATAGTTATTTGAGCAGTAACTGTTTGCCGGTTTACTTTGAAGTGAATTTCCAAATTTTCATCAATAATTGCAAAATAAATATTAAATAGTCAAGAAAATGAAATAAAAGAATATTCAACTTGTTTAATAACAATAACGCATTGCAAATAAAATATTGACCATTTTATATTAACTAAAAGTACTAACGCGCATTTTCCCACAAAATACCTCTCAACAGGTCTCAAAATTTTCGATAAATTTGTTTTGATCAAGTTGAAATTCATAGAAATAATTACAAAATATCCTAACCTATGCTTAGACTACACTACAACAGAACTAACAAAAACCTAAAGTCAAAATAGAAAAAAATATATGTATAAAAAATATGGTTCGTTTTGATTTTATTGCTGAACCATTTTCACTAATATTGGTACTTGTGCCTAACGTGTAAGGCTAATTTTAGCAAGGCCTCAAAAGAGTGTTTAATAAATATAATTTTCATAGTTTAAATATGTTCGCATATTTCGGTCTTTCAATAGTTTCTTGTTTCACTTCATAAAACCAAGCATTTATTTTAATATTTTCGGCTTAATTAAACAAATTTCCTTTTAAATTCCCTAAAATACTGTTTTGACTCAAAAAAATGTATATGATTTATGGATTGAAACAAGGCAATTGACATTGTGAAAGTTACTTATTCTAACTTTGTTCAAATCACAGTAGTATTGGGACAGAAGGCCATTAGAAAAATCATCCATCAAATAGTACGCGTTCTAACAAAATAAGATGGACATAGTAAATTATTCCTAAACCAAACTGCCAGTCACATTTAATGAAGAAAATAATAAAATAGCATTAGCTATGCGTCAGTCTAAAGACGACTACCATAGTCATATATATGTACAAGTTTGTTCAGTTCCATCCAAAAAAATTTGTCAATCTTTGGTTAACAAAATAAAAGATTTAAGTACAAAGAGATTAGAAATTGCTTTCTATGGTTTCAAAGGAGTCACGGAATCTAGCACCAAGATTCTTCTCCACCATCATGAGAATCCTCATCACTCGGATCCTCTCCATACATGTCAGCTAACTTCCTGAATCTGGGACCGAAACTAGATAAATAATTGAACTTCAGATCTCCTTCATCAGTGCAAGATGCTAAGGAAGACAAAGATCCGGTGCTATTTCCATCTCCTTCATAGGCATAATGGCGAACATCATCATAAGGTAAATTATCGGGGTCTTTATCACAGTTATCTTTCTTGTTATCAAGGAAGCCACTTATGTCTGCAGGCACATCGGCGCCCTCCATCAGCGGCTTTTCGTCGACAATGTGATTCTGGCGGAACACTGACAGGTCGTAGTTGGTATCGCATTCGCCACCACCCTCATCTTCGTAGTTTATTATATTTTCACGAGTATCGTCCATCTCTTTCTCGTTTATGTTGTCTTGTTTGCGTCTGTGCACAACAACGGCCAACAGAAGTACTGAAAATTAAATTAAATATTCTTTTAATAAAATGCAACTGCAACAATAACAGAGATGATGATCGAATTGATGTAAGATTTTTGACAAACATTTATGTTGTATATGCCGTAGCCAGATTACAAAACCCGTCGTTTTATAAATTGCCTAGGCGTTTTATAAATGGCGGCCAAATTGTCAAATTTCCGTTTCATTATTTTACTATCTGGCTAGATGGATTATAAAATTCCTAGGCGTTTTATAAAAAGACAGTCAACACACTGCCAGACTGTCAAATATTTAAGATTATCCTCTGGTTAACATTCCGGCGGGTAAGAAGTTTCAGTCGTGTTGTAAAACATTGCCGATTTTCGACATGAACAATTTAATTTTGGCTGATAACAACTGGAAATGCAGAAAAAATAAAATAATAAAGAACAAACTACATGTATAACGTATAATTTCGCAGTAAGTGATAAAATTAGAGGAAGTGTAATTTTTGCTGTAAAGAAAAAGTAAAAAACAGTGCAAAATAGATCAAAAACGTGTCGAAATCACGAAAAAAATGGAAAGATTTGCAGGTGGGGGAGCATGTTTCTATAGCATTTCCAAAATTTTCCAGGAGTGCGCTCGACCCTAAAGCTACAACTATTCTTGATGTACGAAATGGAGTATACTGGACATGGGCTTTGAATCGACGGTTTTCTAGGGACCAACTTAACTCAATTGGTACGTCAAACTTAAATCCAAAATATACCAGTATTACGTTAAGAGGAAAGCTATTTGTAAGTGTTTTTAATTTGGGGGGACAAGGGTTTAAAGAAGCCAGTGAAAACCTAGTAAAGTTTAATGCTGTACAGACAAAAAAATGTCTTGGTTTTAAGGCACGGAGAAAATGCTACAGTAGATGTCATTAAATGACTGGAATTTTCAATGATCCACGTTCTAATAAATAAAATATACTTATAGTATTTTATAGATAATTATTCATAGATAAATACGAGTTTGCTGGGTTGCCTATCAAAATATGGCCGTAAATACTTTTAATAGTACTTTTTTTCTACTTTCAGGTGTATTTCTGTTATAATTGTTTATAGAAGAAAATTATTTTAATAAAAGTTGTTTGTGATGCTATTCTCTATATTTTTAGTCATATAAATTTCTCTAAAATGGAATATAATTGAGAAATTTCAGAAAAGTGCAAATATTTCTGTAAAGTAAACATTGAGCCTCACTCAATCAAAAAATGAGTTACAGATAAAAATGATTCAAAACATTATTTTATAACTTCATTGCTAACAAAAAAACTAAAAAAATCAAATTTTGCAATTTTCCTCAAATTTCTCCATTACGGTCAATGTTTTAAAAAGAATCACATATATGAATTAAATAGAGAATATTATCACAACTCTGGTTGAAATAATTTTCTTCTATAATCATAAATAACTGACATATTTTGATAGGCAACCCAGCAACATCGTATTTCTCCATCAATAATGATCTATAGAAATTGTATTTTGATTAAAAAACAGTGCATAAATCATACGGTCGGACGAAGGCTATTATTAGTTCTTTTAACCTTACAAGTGTTGTTTTATCTTATGTTCATTTGTTCTTCAGTTTTATTTGATCTATAAGTTTAATTTGTTCTTCAGTTCTATTTGTTCTTAGAAAAATATATAAAATATTCGTTATAGTTTTAATTCCATTCAATCCATAAATTAAAATTTTTATGGCCCTAACTTTAAAGAATAATTCGTATTTTATAAAAAAACTAAAACATTTCACACGCCAGAATGTCAAGCAGAATATAATTTTAAACATTTGACAATCCGACTAGTCATATCGGAAAATAATATGAATGCTAAACGAGAATTTGACAATCTGGCCGCCTTTCGTAAAATGTCTAGACATTTTATAAAACGACGGGTTTTACAATTTGGCTACGACATATATACAATATACATTAAGCTCAGAAAATAGATAAAGGAGTGAGGTATCCATATCCCTGTGTATAAAAATCGTATGTGTAGACCAAATGTTAAATCTATTAATTTTGCAAGAACCACAAACACAGTCTTTTGATTCAAAATCTAATCTATAGATATTATAGTTATCCCTGTAGATTTGACGAGAAATACCAATAACTAACCTCAATAGACAACACCTAGGAGCAGCAAAGTAATTAAATTGTCAAGTGAACTTACTTATCAATATTGCAACACATACAAGTATAGCAACCAAGAAGTTGGAGTCGATTCCAAAAGTAACAGCCTGCATTACACCGTAATTACAGTCAGGGTATGCTTGGTACATATCAGAAGGCCCACCAAGATTGTAGTAAAATTCGTTGTAAGTCAAATTTCTGATACAACCAGAAAATCCGACTGAAGTTGGTGGTAAATGATTCCAAATCGATTGAAATTCTTGATCGGTAAATCTGTTTTTCAATCCTCCGATTTGGAGTGGCCCGTTAGCTCGTATTACTCCTTTACTGTCTTTGTTAATCCAAACCGAACATGTAGTTCCGCAGTCATCAACTTCCAAAGACATGTCCTAAAATTATACATTCAAATTAAACCGATAAAACACCAACAAGATGCAACGGAAATAAGCTCTATTAATACTTACATCAATACCGGAACCAATTTTAAGCTTATGTAGTGCACCATCATTTAACTTGTTGATGTGACTGTTGAGGTATATTTCTTTTGTACTGGTACCCGTACATATTTGAAGTAAAGGATAGCCATTTCTAAGCTCTAATGATATGTAATCTAAAACGAAATAAAACTGATTGTTATTAAAAACTTCATGAATAAAAAAAATTAACATAATCAAAATAAGATATATTGATGAATAAGCTGGGATTTCACTACAATACTATAAAATATCGTATAGCTAACATATTACAAAAATATCACTCGCCATTATAATAAACAGAGAACATTACACATAAGGTATAAGTTATATTTATATCATAACTAGTGACCTGCTCCGGCATTCATTTGAATGATATAGTGTACAAGACAATTTTAATCTACAATAAATGTACAAGGTAACTATGTTTACGGAACTTTGGAGGTGCATTATACAATGGTGTTAGTACCATCATTCTTCTCTTCTTTTAAAGTAATATGATTGGCTATGTGACGAAGTCACTAAATTTTGCTCTCAATTAATTTAAAAATGTATATTTCAATTAATTCCCGCCTGAGAACATGTAGAAGTTTCCCAGGAATTACCGGTTTTCAATAATTGCGAGTACCCTCGTAGATTAAAATATTCTTATATTTACCGAAATCCGAATGGGCATTTTGTAGAGTCGATTTCGTACCGATTATCTACCTTTATTTGTCAAGGTACTAGAAGGACATTTTTTTTATTTTTAAATTGTAAACAGTCGTCTGTAGTAGTGGTATCCCCCACTCGGGTTTACCGAAAAGCATAAATTCAATGACATCTGGGAATTACACTCTCTTGATTGCCGACAGCCGAAAACTATTCGCCCTTCTATAGTGCCTAGTAAATACTCCGTGAGTGACCGTAATATCGCTTATTATTTTTTTAATTTACAATTAGTTTGAGATACCCGTCCGACAAGTGAAATAATTTTGATTCATGCCCAGCATTTTTCATTTCATCCCTTAGTGGGAAACCGTTGGCAATTTTTTTTATAAGAAGCACCCAGTATTTTTCATGTAAGTTTCTCTTTTCTTTTATTTATTCATTCAATTGTAATTGAATCATTCCGTTCCGCGTCCACAATTAGTTATTGAATGAAGCTAAACGACTTCTGTAAAATTAAATCCAACACGCTCGCGATCGACTCTGGGCAAATTTCAAAATATTATTTTCTACGATCGTCGCCTCCGCCGTCCAAAACACCGCATGAATACCCATGTTTCTCACTAGACGAACATTTTCGCTTCCCATCGCTCGTGGTTAAGATACGAGGGGGTCCGACAACTTTGATTTCATTTATTTGCTTGCATTTGATTACCGTCATATTTAAATTGTTTTCAAGTGTATTAATTTATTTTTAATAAATTTTCCGTATATAGGGAGTTTCATAATTCCCGGACCGCTTGGCCACCTGTGCTAGTGAACCGTAATTATTCCTCAATATTTAAATAGTTTTCAATTGCAATAATTTATTTTTCATACATTTTCCGGATATAGGGATCCATCAATATTTAAATAATTTTCAATTGTAATAATTTATTTTTCATAAATTTTCCGGATATAGGGATCCATCAATATTTAAATAGTTTTCAATGGTAATAATAATTTTCCGGATATAGGGATCCATCAATATTTAAATAGTTTTCAATTGTAATAATTTATTTTTCATAAATTTTCCGGATATATAGGGATCCATCAATATTTAAATAGTTTTCAATTGTAATAATTTATTTTTCATAAATTTTCCGGATATAGGGATCCATCAATATTTAAATAGTTTTCAATGGTAATAATAATTTTCCGGATATAGGGATCCATCAATATTTAAATAGTTTTCAATTGTAATAATTTATTTTTCATAAATTTTCCGGATATATAGGGATCCATCAATATTTAAATAGTTTTCAATTGTAATAATTTATTTTTCATAAATTTTCCGGACATAGGGATCCATCAATATTTAAATAGTTTTCAATTGTAATAATTTATTTTTCATAAATTTTCCGGATATATAGGGATCCATCAATATTTAAATAGTTTTCAATTGTAATAATTTATTTTTCATAAATTTTCCGGATATAGGGATCCGTCAATATTTAAATAGTTTTCAGTTCTAATAATTTATTTTTAATAATTTTCCGAATATAGGGAGCCGTTCATATTTAATTACTGTTGTATTATTTTTGGAAATATATATTTTATTACCTATTCCTGTGTTTCTCTTACTGCTGGTTCTTAACCGTACTCTTTCAGTGTACTGTAGGGCATGAGGTGTAAAGGAGATAAGTGTTTTATTTTTATTTATTCTAGTATAGTGGCTACCTAGCAGTGACCGCCTGGAATTATTTTTACCTCCACTGAGTTCACCTTGAGTACACACTGGCGTACCACAGGGTCGCAGAGCAAACTGCGATACCAAAACTGGGGCCTGAGCAACCCCTATTTGGGAATCACCTTCATAGCGCCACACAGACTCTCTGATTCACTGTAGGTGCACCAGAAGCCTGTCACAGCTAACCAAAATGTTTTATTTTCTTCTGTAACAAGCAGCCATAAATGCTAGGCGTTATATCACAAACAACATGTACAACCTAGTTGTGAAATTAATCTAGCCTACTAACCAAAGTTTAAAATGTTTGTCTGCTTTTTCTAATCTCATTTCAACCTTTTTCAGTCGATAATAGGCTTCCTTCCACAGTCCCATTACAGTCTTATATGGTAAATGTGAAAACAAATTGTTATTAAATAACTTTTTTTGGGAGGGGGAAAAACGAAATTATTTGTGGGAAAAACGTGGACTAACGAAGGCCTTTCGATTTCCACGTTTTTCCCGCAGCCAGGATTTTTTCCCGGCCAACTTCACACATGTCATTTTAATTTCAATGTTTATGAAATCGCAGAAAAATTTTGAGAATCGCTATACTTCGTTTTTAAACTAGGAGCGATTTGAAATTTCCACCTATAATTTGACAAATAATGACATTACTTTTACTATGATTTGACCGTGGTTTTAAAATATAACTGCAATTATTTCGTGTTTGATTCTTTCTAATTACCTATTATTAATCCAAAACCAAATAAATCAGTTATTTTCTAATGTACCAATAAAAAATGTGAAATATTTACATATTTAAGTAATAAAAAAGTTAAATTTAGGAAAATGAAAGATATTCTATTGAATATATGTTTGGGGCAGTGCTTTGAAAACACATAAATGCTCAAAAAATTATTCAATAAGTTTTTAAAATTAATTTATAAAAAAGATAAAATGTACAAGTCGATGCATTATTTGCAGAAACCGAAATGTTAGATATTAGGCAATTATTATTGTTAACCCAAAATCAGCAAATAAATCATTATTTTCAGGAAAAACTAGACAATTGCTTTTCGTCGGTTTTTTTTTTTTTTTTTTCTTTAAAATGGATAGTGCTATGTGCAACTATGTCGACTTCAAAAAGATGTAAAAACAATTGGATTTAGGCCATTTATCTTTGGCATAAAAACAAGCTATAATTAAATTATTAATAGACCAAAAATGAACTAGTATGTTAAATTATAAGCAAACAGAGTAATTTTATTATAAAGGAGAGACTTGCATTAAGTTATTTGTTTTTCAAACTTTTTTAAATGATAGGAAAAGTATTCAAAGAATAAAAATAGCTATATGTTAAATATGAGAAAATTTCATTCATTAATCCAGTTTCACGAAATTTTATCTAAAAATTACTCCATACCTTTGGAATAAAATTATTTATCACTCTGGTAGAAATACAGGCAAAAAAATTCTATTTAGATTCCGAAACACCAAACACAACAATTTAAAAACTCGTTTTTATATTATATATAATAATGTTCCTGTTTCTCTAATACCAAGAAGTCGAAGTAGAGAAAAGTTAAAAGAATTCACAATTAATAAAAAGTTAATAAGCACAATTTAGGAATTTAACCTTTATTCGTTGGTTTTATAAAATCATAACTTCAATGCATTAATAACAAAGTTTTAAAACATATTGTTTCAAATAATACAAAAGTGTATAGTAACTTTTTTTTAGTAACTTTTCCATGTGTAAATGGGACTTTTTAATTCGCTCCTACTAGTTTAAAAATGAAATATAATTAAATAGACAAAAGTATTTCAAATATTCAATATCAAAGATGGCTCTGAGGGGCACTATCATCTTTGAAAATTTCAAAACGTAAAAATTAAAATTGCTTACCTTTCGATAAGGCACTTTGTCTGGCATTAAGAGGTCCATTGTAAAATATCAACCCATTATCAGTCTCAGCCAAAATGTGCAAAACTATTTCAGTTCTGTTTGAAGCATCGAATGAAGGGTACATAGCCCAACCGTTTCCTCTAAATCCAACAGCAAGTATCTCACAATGAGGACCTTCGCCTCCTGATGGGCAGTTGCATGCTGTGTTTTCAACTGGAATGCCACCATTGAAACATTCAAAGATTTCTCTTGGAATAGTACTGCAAACTGGATCGACGAATGCGTTTACACCAACAAATGATGTTCTATTAGTGAAAACGACAGCTGGTTCTTGAGTTACATTCAGTCTGTTGGTACAAGAACTTTCTACTCCACATACAGTTTCGTTTAAGCATTCATTTATGTTTATCATTAGGAAGTCGACTCCCAATATTTGTTCAAGCTAAAATAATGGAAAAATTAGAAAAAATAATGCTTTGTGAAATAAATTTGATGTACAAACCTCGCTTTCTTGTTCAGTAACTTTATTTTGAAGCTTTTCTGGTGCATAATATGGAGATCCGTGGGCAGAAAATCTTACGTCGAGATAAGAACTATTTTGGTGAGGAGAATTAAGAACAGTAAATACATCCACATTTGTTACAGATGTATTTAGGATTTTAGCAATTTCTCTTTGAAGTATATCCTTCTTGCTCAAATTATTCTAAAAAACAAATAAGTAATAAATAAAAAATTCTACAGAAAAATTGATTTTACAAACCTCAGAACGTTCCACAAATTCTTCTTTAGTGATACCACTCATACGAATTGAGCCTGATTTTATCACAGCTTCTTCAGGAAGGACTTTAACAGTGATTGTGACTATAGCATTGACTGTATGTGTTTCAATTGTAGGTTCATGGGTTTCAGTTACTTCATAGCGAACAACGTAAACTCCTTCAGTTGTAGTCGGTCTCATAAGTATCATGCCTTTATTAGATTTGTTGAGAGAGAATTCATCGATGTTATCTAGTTGAACAAAAACTTTGTCGTTCAAATCCCAGTCGTCCAAATCTTCAACAAATACCCTACCGATCTCCATGTCGGTATCCAGTCCGTTAACATATTTGTATACAAAGATGGTGCTGTTACCATCTTCAGCTTTGTTGTCATTTACATCTCCGATTATCACTCTTAAAACACTAACATCACTTTGTACTGGAAAACCACTGTCTGAAATGTTAATCGGTATTTCATAAAACTTTTGTTCCTCTCTGTCAAAAGGAACTAAAGCAAATAACTGTCCTTGGCTGATGGAGAATTTACTTTGAATATCAATTGAAGCCGTGTCGGCCAATCTAAACATAAACGGTGGTCCGTTTTCAGGACCATCATAATCATCAGCGCTCAAATTGCCTATCAATCCCGGATTTTGATTTTCATACCAAACAATTTCGGTAACGTTCAAAAATGGCGCGTTATCATTGATATCGATCAAATGAATTTCAATTTCCGCATAGTCCATTAACGAATTAGTTCCGCCATCATTGTCGCGAGCGTATATAAAAACTTGCCGCGTCGGACTACCAAACGGCGGATCCCGGTCAAGAGGCTTCGTCACCGAAACGCATCCTTGAGAATCCACAGTCAGAAAATCTTTTTGCTCTTTAGCGACTTCGTAGACAATATGCTGATCAGAGCTTCTATCTTTGATGTCAGGATCGTATGCTTCGACAACCACAATGCATCCGCTTACAATAGTCTCTTCTTTGATTTCTATGTCCTTCAAATAAGGTTTGAACACCGGTCGTTCGTCGTTTTCGTTCAAAATTGATATGTATACAATAGCAAAATCTTCAAATAGGCCATCAAAAGCTCTTACAGTCAAATTATACTGTTCTATCAACTCATAATCTAACTGTACGTTAACCCTGATTCTTCCAGTGGTATTTTCAATAAGAAATGAGTCGTTGATGTTCCCATAGGTAATACTGTAAGTTATCAGAGAGGCTGTATCGTTATCTAAAGCCTTAACTTCTCCAACGATGCTCGATTTATCAGCTAGCTCAGTTATATTACTAAATCTGTAAATAGGATGGGTAAATCTAGGTTTATTGTCGTTCTGATCTTCTATGCTGATTTGGAATGTTTGGATAACAATATTTGGTTCTGTAGTGTTATACAGAGCTGATGGAGAATTGTCATAGGCTTTGACGTTTACGTGGTAAAGAGGTATATTTTCACGATCGAAAGCGATTCTAGATGTAATTACTCCGGTCGTTCTATCAATGGCGAAATTATCTAAATTATCGACAAGTTCGTAGCTCACAATGTTATTGGCAGCGGTACCATCCTTGTCTATGGCTCTAACTTGGATGGCTTGGGCACCAGGTGTATCGTTTTCAACCACACTTCCTTTAAGAAACTCAAGAAAATTGGGAATTTCATCGTTTACATCGAGAACTTTTATGGGTATATTAATAGAGGAATCCATTAGATCTTTGTTTTTAACACGGATTGTTAAGGTATATTCGGTAACAGTTTCGTAATCTAGAGGTCGAACCAACTTTATATGGGCTATGTTTCCTTCTGCTTCTAAGAGGAATGTCTGATCCTTATTCGTTTGGTAGGTTTTACCTTTGACCAACTCAAACGCGAGCTGAGGGTCCATTATATTTGATCTAAATAATAAAAATAAAGATTTACCAAAACTTAAGTACAAAAAAAAGAGTTAAGGCATCGACAACTACTTAATTATTTCATCTAAAATACTTACTCAGCTTCTACAGTAACTATATGTTTGGAAAAATCATTAAAATTTTCAGCAATCTCTAAAATTCCATCTGGTGTTCTATGAGTAAATCTAGGAGGTTGTTTATCAGAACCTACTACTGTTATGGAGATGTTAGCCATTGAATATTTTTGGCCTTCCTGATCATTGATGCCGTTATCAGAAACATAAACGACACTAGTGAATCTTGTGTTCTTTTTCTAGAAGTTAAAATTCACTATCACCACACGATCGATCACTAATAATTTTAGATAAAATAAGTATAAAAATAAATTGACTTACATCTGTCAAAGGTTCCTTCAAGTAGACGACACCAGTATCTCTATCTATTCTGAAATATTGCGTAAAAGGTCTATCATGATCAGAAAAATTGTATGATAGTCGAGAATTTTCCCCATCATCAATATCGTAGGCAAATACACGCATTACTTCACTACCGATTTTTAAATCTTCAGAAACTTGCGTGTCATATTCCTGCAAATAATATTCTACTATTAAACCCACACACAGCATGAGACAAAACTCTTTACAATTTGAAAATTTTAAAACAATTTGTCCAATAATCATTTGTCCTTATAACTTACCACTTTATCTAACTGCGGGGCATTATCATTAATATCAGTGATTGTTACTGTAAACGTGCAGACGTCTGCAAGCGTTGGTCTACCATTATCTGTAGCTTGTACAGTAACGTAAAGTTCTTTTTGTCTAACTGGTTCGTCACGATCAAAAGGTTGGATGGTAGTTAGAGCTCCAGTAGCATTGTTTATTTCAAATAATACACGTTCACCTTCTCTGTGAACAATAGTATATGTTACCGTTCCTCCTGCGTCTTTAGGATCTTCATCATAAGCTTTTACCTATAAAAAAATATGCGTACAATAGAACTGTTTAAAAGTGACGGATGATGAGATGGATGGTCCCCTTGGAGATTTGGCTATTTTCAAAATTAATAACAAGAAAGAAGCTGTGGATGAAAGTAATAATACAACAAAAATTATATTTCCAAGACCTGGGTACAGAAATAAAAATCATAGTTCTGAATCTACAAGACAACAGTCATATGATGACACAATAGAAACAAAACGTTTGAGAGTACTCTAATGAGGATTCTAAACGTACATACAGAGACAAAATTAAAATTATTTACGAACAAAAAATAGAATTCGCGATTTTACTTACGGTGGTGACAAATGTGTTCGCTCTCTGTTCTTCTTTGACTGAAGGTTTGTAACTTTGACAATCATCAAATCTTGGTTTATGATTGCCAGCTATAAGGTTTGCGCTTTTTGCTTGTGGCAGCAAAAATGATTCAACGGAATTTTCACTGAATCCTGTAATGAAAGAGACATCGTTAATTTTGCAACTAAACACAAAAGTAAATGTAAAGCGGATTTGCCACCTGCATTTTGGCATAACTCTACTGTCTTAAGATATTTGGTTGGTGAACTAAATACTTGCATACAAATGTCGAGTAACGCCGTGTACACTAGGGCGATCGTATATAATTTTACAAAACGCGGACATTGGAAAAAGGATTATTTTATATAAAATATTATAAATTATGTGTAATATAAATAGTATTGGGGATAAAGCTGAGCCTTGATGTACTCCTGCATTGGTTTTGTAGAACCCATTGGACTAGCCATCAACATAAACAAATAATGAAGGTCTGATCGAAAGCTTTCAAATAATTTACAAAGTTTATGTTTTCTCTTGCCAGCTTTTGATTTCCAGACATGAATTACTGAGCATTCGTATTATATACCTACCAATCGTCCGTCCACATGGACAGATTGTAAATAAACCACAGGGTGTAAAAAAATAAATAAATAAATCGTCCGACCTTGAATTATGGCCAAAACATCGTAAATCTTGTAACTAAATACCAGCATGAACGCTTTTACATAATTCAACGGATTTAACGATCTTGTAACCCAAATCTACCATAAACATATAAATATATAGAATATTTACGGCTGAACGAATAACATTCGTTATTAAATTAAAATAGTTACAATAAACCAGTGTGCAGAGGAAGTAGAGAATTAGGCGGTTAATCGAATGCATTATTAATTTAAGAGGAAATGATTATGTGTTCCAAGATAAACTCTTTGTGAAGAATTTAAAGTGCTCTAGCTAGACCAAGATTTACTTTTAAAGCGCATAATAGACGATTATAAATACATAGATTTAATTAAAACGTACGAAACAATAGAATTTACAATAGAACGATTTAAAAACCGTGAATATTGCGAAACAAGTTATTGTTCTTATCGACCATTTCTAAATATCAATCAAACAAAATAATTGTATTATTTTTTCATATCAATACCATCGAATTTATCTCTGTTGTAATCCACAAGTGATTTACTAGTTTATTATATTTCAGTAAATATCTAATTCATTCTACAGAATTTTATTACCAAATATAGAGTCCTTTGAAGAAAAATACAGCTGCGATAAATGTGATTAATCAGTGCCATAACGATTTCATATTTATACGTTATCTTATCACACTTTTAGCAAATATAAAAAAATAATAATTCAATTATCATATTAAAAAAAAAGTAAATCCCTGGTCAGAAATCCAAACCTGAATTTATCCTAGAAAGCCTAATATAGTGTATAATTAAAATCAATGTAAGGCAAATTATAATAATGCTTTAGAATATTATTTTGGAATGATTTCTTTGAGTGTCTCTACCTATTGAGGTTCCATCAAGTTTATTAATAAAAAAGAATACAATTTGGTATATTTAGACCCAGAGCTTAAGACTATGTGGGTCTTACAAGGTACAAATTTTATAATATCATATCACAGAAGAAGAATTCGGTGCCTGCTTAGTTATAATACTACTACAAAATAACTAATAATAATTAAAAAAAAAATACAGTAATTTAATATCACACTATTACTTAAATCCTATTTAAACATGAAGATATCAATTAAGAAAATTCTATTAAGTGAGCTTTTAGTTTTTTTTAAAGAGGTCAGTCCTTATTTCCTTTATGGTGCTAGGAAGCTCATTGTATTGTCTTAGACCATCAGATAGTATGCTTCGGTCACCAAAGCATGTTCTTACGGCTGTGGTTCTGGATATCATAGGAAGTAGTCAATTGTATGGATGAGTGTACGACCATTGAAATAATCTTTGAAGAAAGACAATGCAGTGATTAACAGTATCAAACGCCTTCTTTAATTCATGTTGTTAATCATATCTGTGACTGCAGACGTTGTGCTACTTCCACTACGAAAACCATACTGTCCCTTGAACCAAAAATTCTTTTTTTCAAGATAGAAAACAAGCCTTTGATTAATACATTTTTCCAGAACTTTGGAGATAGAGAACTTAATAGAGATATCGGTCGGTAGTTATTAGTGGAAGTGCTTAGCCCTCCTTTAAACAATGGTAAAACTTTAGCTACTTTTAGTCCATTGGAAATTGAAGCATGAGTGAAAGTTAAGTTTATTAGGTTACTTAAGATAACCGACATCTCGTTTGTGAAATGTTTGATCAAGTCCCCAGAGATACCACCAGCACCACAGACTTTTCTCGATTTTAACTCTGAAATTACTTTGTTGATTTCTTGAGGGGTAGTTAACTCCCATTGATATAGTTGTTGACGGTTTATAACTGTAGGTTTCGTGTAAGTAGACTCCGGTATATTTTCTGCTAAGACTTTACCTATTTCTGTAAAATGGGCGTTTAAGAATATCTGCAATTTTCTTAGGAACTTCTATAGAGTCATCTTCTACTTGCAGTTTATTCACTGTGTTTTGTTGCTTTGATATTTTATTATGAATTAACAAGTTTAACACTGACTATATTTTTTTTGGATTGCCTAGGGCACTTGTTAGCTGATTGTCATAATATTGTTTTTTTTGCATTAGATATAGCTGCTTTCAAGATAGTTTGACTGTTCTTGTATTCACTGTGAAGCAGAGCATTATTGGGAAAAAGCTTATGCCTTTTATAACGCGTATCTCTGTGCTTGATTAGGTTATGCAAATTAATGTTAAACCATGGACAACTTTTAGTTCTAAAACGGTCTTTATATGTCCTACGTGTGGTATTGCTTTGGACTGTTCTCACTATTTGATCACACAAGACATTTGGATCCTGCCACACAGTGTTAATTATATCTTGAAGATCTCTTCTACATGCTAACCTATTTAACTTAAAACATTTATAATATTTTTCATTGCTAATTGAATTGCATTGTTTTTCTTGCAATATTTGTATTCTATGATCGCTTAAACAGTAACATTTGATTAGTTTTGTAATGTAAATATTGATTCTACTGTAATAATAATAATTATTATTATTATTATTATTATTATTATTATTATTATTATTATTATTACATAGTTTGTAAAATAGTTTTTTATATACATATATTAGATAAATATAGGCGTGTTTTAATCTTTATGAAAACTTTCATAGAGTGTAAAAAAATCTACATACTATTTATTAGATTTTTCAAAAAGTATTCAAGCTTGTAATTTGAAAAGATATGTAGGGGAATTTGTCAAGATGTTTTATTTAATGAAGATATTGTCAATTTAAAATTAGTAGGTACTTACCAGTATACCCACATATCTTTACTACAGATTCTATTATAATAAATATCAATTTAATTTTTTAAACTATGTAATAATATTTTTGAATTTTCTGAAGGTTTTCATGTTCTAATACCCTAATAAAAAACCCTATTAACTCCTTTCCCTTTAAGGGTTCTATGGTAAACTGACTATATTTTGAAAAGTAGAAAGTGGGACAAATCGACGACATGGAGAGGGGGATACAAAATAAAAACTGAACCTGCATCAACATTTAAACATTATAAGAATGTGTAACTATTATTTATGTAATAATAAAATAACCCTAAATAAATTAGTTAATATTTTAAATTTGTTACAAAAAATATTAATTTGCTTGATGTACAAGATACAAAATTATGTTGTATTATAATGTCACATCACCATAAATGAAATATAGATTATTTTTTTAAATCGGAATTTTTAAAAGCGGAACAAAATCAGGACAAATATTAAATCGGGACGAATGGTCACTTTATTCTAGGGTAGTAACCATCTAAATGTTATTACTGTAATTTTGAGACGCCATAGTATTTGTTAAGCTAATTAATTATTCTTTTTATAGCTTCTTGAAAAGTGCATAATACATAGAATAAAATAATTCTAACCATGGTCAATTTTTATAAAATTATAGTAGACTCGTATTTAATCTGTTTACTACTACAAGTTTAAATATTTTCAAGACGTAATTTACATCATTCCTAAGTAATTAGACACAGTTGTTACCTCATTACGTTTAAGAGTTAAATTGTATTTTCTTGGAAATATATAAAGCTTTCTAATTGGGATGAAGTAAGAAAGTTGACATTTATTTTGTATTAGACCTTTGTAGATGGGTAGATAAATATATATAATAAAATATAAAGGGATTCAAACTACAAAAATAATTAAAAGAAATAGACTTGGCTTCAGACAAACGTAAAGTATTAAAATCTGTACCAATTTTCTTTAATTTTATTTTAAATGGTTGCCTATCATCAAGATAATTACCTCCATTGAGTTATCATCCTTCCCTATTTATTAAAAAACGTGACAAAATTATAATCATCAACTGTGAATAAACTTAATTTTTAGAAAATTAATAACGAATCACCAATAAGCGTAACACTGTATTTTAACGTACGTCTGTTTCAAATCCAAATAACTTTTATTTAAAACTTGTTTACATGTCTATAACACAAATTAATAGGACATACTGTATATTTGTAATGGCTCACTCCAGGGTGTGGGGAGCTGTTATCATTTAATCTTGGGCTAGGCTGTCTAATTGTTAGGGCCGAAGGGTTCTATTAGACCCCAAAATAATAATTTACAAATGGGTGAAATTGAAGAAGTTTGCTACTTTGAATTGTGTAGGGAATGTAATAAATATAATTTTATTTATTTACACTTCAGTGTTTCAAAATTACTTAAATATTTGAGAACAGCAAAATGTGTAGGTACATACCCACTGCAGTGTCTACATTGTAACACATTATTTAAAAAAGTGAAATTTAAATAGATCAATTAAACGCCGCTTTTATGAAAGTTTCTATTAGTTATTATTAGTCAACAATGAACTATAAAGCTATAGAAAACTTTATGTTTAAAAAGATTTATTAACATATACCTATATGCATTATTGCTAATAACAACAGTAAAACTTGACGTTCATGAGAAAAAATAACAATGTCAGTTCCATTGTATATTATAATTTAAGAGAACGTTTAAATATTTTCTACCAGAGGTTAT